CCACCGCCGTCACCCGCCACCGCCGTCACCCGCCGCCTGCTCCGGCGCTTCCCGAGAGGACAGGGCTCACGGGTGGCCTGGGCAGGGGACTGCGGTGCCCTCGCTAAGCTGCTGCCGCAGCACGTGGCACCGCCGCAGCACGTGGCCCCATTGCAGCACGTGGGAACGTGGCCCCGCGTCCTTAAGCCCATTAAGGCCCTGGGTGCGCTGTGCTGGCCAAGCTGGAGCAGAGTCACCCGGCGCTGTGACCGGTGTTTGCAGGGCGGGAAACGGCTCCGGCGTTTTCCAGCTTCCCGCTTCTCCCCTTCGCTCTTACTGACGCTCAGAGACAGAGCCGGGCACAAGAAGGTCCTCTTTAAAGTCCACGTTTGCAACAAAAAGATTTTATTGCTCATTTTAGGTGTTACAAGTCTCACCCGGCTCAGTCAGCTCCGCCAGGCAGAGTTAAACTCCAGTCAAAGTGCTCGCTATCCAGGTAGGAGTGGAAATGGCAGTATAAAAAAGGCAAGAGTTTGAAACACTTAAAAATAGCAGGACTTCATACAGTTAAAGGCCTTCACCTTAATATAAATAGGTAAGAAAATAATCTCTTTCTTTATACAGATAAATCTCAACCTCGGTTCTGTTAAAAGAGACTGCCTTAAATTTGTCCTTCATTGCTTCTAGCTATATATTAGATTGATAAGTGTCTGCAAAAAGCAATAAAAATCTCTCTTCAAAATAAAAGGAAAACCTCACTGGAGTAGGAAACGGGGGGTTTCAGCACCCACTGGCCGCATTTCCAAGCTTGCACCTAGCTGCCCACCTTGGTTAGTGCCCAGGACCCGCAGGGCGACGCGCGGGACATTCCCGTGGGAAGCAGGGGTTAAGTGAGGGCTTCGGAAGGGGAAGGGCTTCCAGGCCGGCACGGGGTGACTCCTGGAGCTGGGTTAGACCAGGCGGCAGGAAAGCAGGGGGCAAAACGCAGGAAGGCTCCCGGTCGGGGCCCGGAACGGCCGCGGCGGCGCGCGGGGAGGCAGCCCGGCCACCGGCGGGGCAGGGATTTCTCCAAGGCTGAGATTCGGGGAGAGAATAAAACGCCCCCGGCCGCGGGGCCGCTGGCACAGAGTGTTTTAAGGCACCTTCTCACTTCACTCTCCAGCACCTACATCAGTGTATCCGTCCCAAGGCACTTAAGGGCCGGGATTTTTGGCAGGGGGGTCTCACTTCTTGCCCGGAGAGCTCAGGGAAGAGCGATGCCCCCATGAGACTTAAGCGGAGCGTCTGGAAGCAGCGCGTGAAGCAGCTCGAAGGCGAAGGGCCGGCAGCGCTGCCCCAGCTTTGGTCCCTTTCTCAGAATCCGCGCAGGAAAAAGCCATGGAGGGATCCAGGTCAGAACTGAACCCAGCCGGCGTTCGCCTGATTGACGTTAGAAGTGGATCTGGAGGGAAAAGGAAAAGGGGAAAACAGTGGCTGCGGGTGTTCGCAGAGGCTGCAGCTGTTCTGGGGCTGCTTTGGGCCAGGCGAGCGCAGGGGGACGCCCGCAGCGCGGCCTCACCCTGCAGCCTCCGCAAAGTCGCCCCAGCCGTCGGCGGCGGCCGAGGGAGCAGCCCCGAGAGAGCCTGTCCGGGAGCCACGCGGGCCCGAGGAGAGAGAAAAACAGCAGCGGTTACTCATGATCCCCCAATTTTCCTCAACAGTCCTCCCAAAGCAGCTTTCTCCACAGAGCTGTGGAAAGCGAGATGCTCTTTTGCTCTTTTTTGGGGGATCCCTCTGAAATCGCTCCCAAGCCCCGCACGTGCTGCAACCACCGCAGCGTGGGGACCTCGGAGAGCAAAAGCGACGTTCAAGAGCCTCAGAGCTGCTCTCTGCACAGACCTGCGCTCCGGCCGCCCGCTGCCAGCCCCGGCGCCGGGGCGGAAGCTTTTCCTCCGGGAGGCGGCGGGAGCCGGCTCAGAGCCGCGGGAGCAGCGGGACGCGGCCTGGCACTCCCTGCCGCTCACTCCTTTTTCGTGATGTTCTGAAAGGAGACAGGAGGGGGGACTTAGATGGCAGCACACATTCAGTTCCAGAGCGGGACGTTCCCCTGCCCTATCCCAGGCCCCAAGCAGCTCAGCTGCCTTTTCCAGGGGGAAATCTCCGCTGCGCCTGGCGCTCCGCCGCCAGTTTGCGCTGGGGCCGGGGATGCCACGAGGCGGAGTGGGGGTCTGGCCGGAGAAGCCCCTCACCGCGATGTTGAGTTTGATGGTCTGTCCCTCCTTGAAGCCCAGGTCGAGTCTGGGGCCCTCCTCGAGGCTCTGCGCCTGCCGGGCCAGCTCGCTCTGCTGCCTGACCCACCTGCGGAGGC